GGCAGGCAGGCAGGCAGGCAGGCTGGAGGGAAGGGAAGGGAAGGAAGGAAGGAAGGAAAAAATAAGATTCTTGGCAGTTTTCTTTGAGAGAAAAAGAAACTGGATAAAAGGAAACGTGAAATGTATTTAATTTATATGCTGCCCATCACACTGTCAGGTAGCACTGTGTGAAATGGCAAAAAATCATTTGAACAAAAGGAATCTATTTGCCAAATTTTGATTATGTTAGGTATACAGTTAAGTCAGATTAAAATTTTGAAAAATGTTTTTAAGAGATCCTTTGTCCCAGCTTGGAGTTAATTGCCAATCAACTGTACTCTTACCTCTGCATGACATCATTCTGGAGGGAGAGAGACACATCAGTCATCACCTAGCAATAACCAGAAGAGCTGCTCAGTTTTCATTTTGTAGCTGTAGGAATTAAATGAAGTTTCAAAACTATTTAAGGAAATAGTTCATATGTACTTAAATGTTTCTGAAATCTTTCTTTTTCTTTGTTCAAAGTCAATGGAAAGATTTTCAGAAAAAGATAAATTTTCACAAAAGAGGCTGTTTGGCTTAGGCCTCCAGATGTGAACCAGCGTTGGCAGTTCAGATAATGTCATGAAGGATTAAGAAGCAGAAAAGTCTAATTCCATCTTCAGATATCATGATTTTATCAGTGCAGAAGCTGGGAGTGATATATTTCCACCTATATCTGCACATAAAAAATAGCTTTATCCCCTGCACCTGAAGATGAGAAAAGTTGTCCTACTACACAGGAAGTGGTTTGAGCGTGCTCCAGGTGGTGATGTTACATCAGCAAATGGGGCTGTTTCTAGCTTCGACTGCACCACTTTTCTCAAAGGGTAGGGCGTAGGTTGACTAAATGTGAGCCATACTGGAAGGTCCTCCAGGTGGAAGCATGGCCAGCATGCCCTATCCTTTTGTGTAGAGCAGGGCTGTCAAACTCCTGGCCCATGGGCCAGATGCGTCACACACTGGCCACACCCATGCCTGTTTTAGCAAAGGGGGAAAAAGTCCCGATACATCACATGATGCCGCTGTGACGATGTGAGTTTGACACTCCAGGTGTAGAGCATCTTCTTGGCTTAACAGAACCTTTAGCTGTAGAGTTAAAAAGAAAGAAACAAAAAGAGATATTAAAGTTCTACTCCCAGAATTCCTAGCCATTTTAGTCAGTGGAGTCTTTGATTATGTTCTATCTCAACAGTGTGCCTTTTTTTTTTTAGGATCACCTGCTTAAGAATGTAGCAATTAACTGGTGTTTGTCTGCAAGAGGTGAGCATCCATCCATGGCTCCCTGCAACACTGCAGATGCTCATCAGATCTGGCACTTCAGCTAAAGAAGTCCAAGAAAAAGACCAAAGCAGCTCTGGAATGCATCTCCTGTCAAAGCTCCCATTCTTCTGAACTTGCTTTCTAGCGACAGACGGTATATTTCAGGAAGTGAGAGGGGGAACCAATTTGCTGCATAACCCAAAATTTGCCTGTAACACTCTTGTGCCTTTTGCAATAAGCTCAAAACAGCCAACATTGGTATATTGGTTTATCTGGGCTTTCTTGATAAAAACTAATAATAATTACAAGCTGGTATATTTGCTCTTTAGAATACTAGATACATTATCAAAGTTCCATACTCTGAGGCAAACTACACTGGCAATGTTCATATGGCTGTAGAGAAAAAATGGCCATCGGCCAGATGTGAACTCAAACATTTCCCTTATTTGTATGTTGTGAATATTATAGGAAGTAGTGCTTTGAGGCTCTGACCTAAGGAATAAATTGTCTGTGTATAGTTTAGAGAATAATTGGATGCCAAAGATAATGACTTTAATCTGTTACATAGGAAACGCTGCTTCTGACAATACTGAGCATTGGGAGGAGAAATCTTTGTAATTCTAATGCTTTCTCAACTGTCTTAAAGGTCTTTGCACTGACATGCAGGTGAGCGGCAGGCAAACCTCTGCTTCCAAAGGCTCAGTGCGGCTACCTGCAATTAAAACAGTAAATGCTGGCCTGCAGTATGGTTGTGCGACTGAAATCCTAGCCCTTTTGCACAGGCTGAGGCCCGTGTTTTACCTCAAGCTTTGGAGCTTTTGCCAGCATGCTGCAGGTTGCAACTGATGATTCTGTGGAAGAATTAAAACTGTGTCTTCTAGCTGTTCAGTTCTCTCCAGCAAATGGAAGAGAAGGAATGCAGTAAGGTTGTGGCACTTCCTTAGCCCTTCCCCATGTCTGAGTTTAATGTGCCTTTTAGTTCTCCCAACCTCTGCAGTCTAGGCCTTCAGAAGGGTGCAACTTGCTTCCATTCTTCATGACTAAACAGGGCCCAACCTGGCTTTTCTATACTGCACTGGTGTTAACATCCTGCAGTGGGAGATGGCATGTGGCTTGATTTCAGATACTTCCATAGCCTTTGTGATACACTGCAATGCCAGGAATAAAGAAAGCTTGCTAATGTGCCTTTAAACAAATAAATAAAGCAAAACACTAGCGGAGCAGGAAGCTATCTCTCATGAGAAACCAGCTGCCAAATGAAGGCTTACTCACATCAGTGGATGGGAGTTAAAGCAACGCAAAAAAAGCAAAATTTGTGTGTGTGTATCTGTATATTTGTGTTTGCATTTCATTGATGAGAAATACCCACTAGGAAAGCAGCTAGAGTAAAGTGATCATGGCTACTGCTAATCATAGTGATGTGCTAGACCAAAAATTTGCCCTTGTTTGTAATGTTTCTAAGAAAACAATCAGATGTACATTTCTTGAATTTCCTCAGATAAGGGGCAGAAAGGACAGGGTCCTCTCTGTAACAAGGTTGTCAGCTCCCAAACAGCAACTTTCTTATAACTGACAATGCTGGTAATACTTGTAACTTATAAATAATTAGCATTTTCACCTTCCATAGAAGGTATAAGTCCAAAGAGAAAAATAGATTTTGGATTTTTGTAAGTACTGGGTATTTTATGAGTACACCACACTTTTAATTGCCGATTGGTTGACATTACAGATCAAAATCTATCTGTGCATGATTCCATCTTTCCATTTTAAAAGGACAAGGCTGGTTTCCATACAATACTTTTAGCATTTTCGAAGAACGGAGACAGGGTGAAAGGGTTTTTTTTGAATGCAGGAGCTAGCATTAGAAGTTTTGGTTCATTTGCTGGAAAAATTTTCAGATGAAACAAATGTCTTGCTCTGGTAATCTTGACTGGAAATAAACAAAGCTGATAACTATTTTATGAAGAAATTCTGTGTTGGGTTCATTTTCTTTTCACTAATTCTCCATTTCTTTATAATTAATGTTGGAGCACACATCCTAACCCAGCCCTATTCTTCAATGACTCTATTTCATTTAAAGGAGATTGGTAATCATATAAGCTATACCAGGAGTCCTCAATTTACACCTCAAATTTCTGTTGCCAAGCAAGGCAGTGAATTTTACCCCGTTTTATATTTATTGCCACAGTTGTTAAGCAAATCACTGTAGTAATTAGGTGAATCATGCGGTTGTCTTTGTTTGATGGAAGTCGGATGGGAAGGTTACAAATGGTGATCGCATGACCCAGGGATGGTACATTTGTCATGTTGCCAAATTGACAATTGCCAAGCACCCAACTTTGATTATGTGACCATGGGGATACTGCAATGGTTGTATGTGTGAAAAACAGTTGTAAGTCACTTTTTTCAGTAACTTCAAATGATCATTAAAGGAATGGCTGTACATGAAACTGGGCTGGAAGAGCATGTGACATTTTTGTCATTGCTTCTTTCAATAGAATAGAATATGAATATGGAATGGAATGGAATGGAGAATGGAATGGAATGGAATGGAATGGAATGGAATGGAATGGAATGGAATGGAAT